ATATTATATATTATATATTATATATTATATATTATATATTATATATTATATATTAGATAGACTATCACTAATTTTGTATTAAGTCACTATTAAGAAGACGACATTGCTATATAAAATTGTATCACATTGTATGTGCATTACACATAAATACATACACTTACACAAAATCATAACAATGCCTGAGTATAAGTATACGTTAAGGCCTACAAGGGTAGAAAACGTTCTCTTATTCATAGTTGCACCAGAATGTAAGTAAGTTTATGAGCAGAGCATAACCGTGTGCAAGGGTTAAGTTGGCAAAAGCAAAGTTACACTACACACTTACCTTAATGCTGGATGTGCCTGGGTCTGCTCTCGCAATTTCAGGTTGCTTGGATTAAATCAGATTCAAAAGCAATACTTGGTATACATACACATATGGTATCTCTAAATCCAAGATTATCAGTGACACACAATGGACACAACACCTGGAAACTTCACATATCCCACGTGCAGCTAAATGATTCTGGCAGCTACATGTGTCAAGTGAATACAGATCCCATGAAAAGTCTGGTAAGTCAACCACAGCTCTACCCCTGACCTTAGTGGCCAGCTATTCAATTTTCAAATGCTTAGCTGCCTGCAGGGGCAGTAATCTTATCGCCATATGGGTCTGAGCCCAAGCTTATGTGCGAGCTTTGAAATAAGGCTTCAGCACAGGTAAGCAGTGCTCCCAAGGCCTTGACACGTAGCTTTATATAGTTCCTGTGGCCAAACAGTGCAATAAAATGTTAAATATATTAAGTATTAAGTATTTTGGGAAATATTAATTTGGAAAACTGTAACAATAACAAATCTCAACGCAATTTTCATTTTTTAAAGATCATTGACCTTGCACAAAAAAAAATAGATAAATAAATCAATAAATGAACATTGTTATATATTGTTTTTTTTTATTTAACCTACAATTTCGTTTGTTCATAAATAATGCGCTACGTGGAAAGTAAAATATTTATATTTTAATTTTTACTGCTCTTCATCTATTCAATGCGTTAGAAATTTGTATACCAGGTACACGAATTAATTAGGTAATTAATTATAAAATATCATCATGATAATTTATTAATCAAAACATTCTGATGGTTGAATAAGTTCTGAATTATCTCTAGTTAAATAATATTTGTAACGTTCTCTTATGGGATATTGTTGCTTATTCAAGAGCGCCCACCAGAGTTAAAAACATGGTTGGAGCTATCCCAATAATCTATGACTCGTATAGAATTCTAAGATTTTACAATGTAAGATTGTATATATGTACATATATACAATATGTATACATATGTTCTGTTATCTTTTGAACACTGCTGATACTAGAGTTTTTAACTTTTGTGAATTTAGTAAAATCGTAAAATTGCAAGTTTATCTAAGCCCATATAAGGCGAAACAAATTTTAAAATCTGACTGATGTTATATAGTAACATGTAAATATAAATGATATCATGAGGATATTTTTTAAATCTAGGCGATTCTGCCTTTAAAACGTGTTTATGAAAAGGAAATTAATTCAATTAACTCGTAGTCTTACATTTAGAGATTTTTATGAAGGACTAACATAAAATGAATTAATAATAAAAATAAGAAGCATAAGCTGTAAATAAATTAGGATAGTTTGAGTCATAAAAAAGTTAAAAAGAGATAGAGAGAATATAAGAGTAAGAGAAAAAGAAAGAGAGAGAGGTAGAGGTAGAGAAAGAGAAAAATATATATAGAGAATGCAAATTTGTCTGTTCATAAAAACAGAATATGAAATGAGTATGAACGCAATTTATTCCGGCGCTATTGAAGATCGAGACTTGAAATTTGGAACACATACTCATGTATATCTCCGATTAAATAATAAAGTATTAAAATTTTCCCGATCCGCCTGGTCCGAAAAATGCATGCATGCGTCGACCATTTAAGATTAACCGCTGAAATTTTGCACGTGAGCTAATTTATGATTCCATAAAGGTCGATGAAAAAATAATACATATATCCACGCTCGCCAGGAACGAGGTAAATCGGACCTGAAGATATAGGTTTTTTTTCAAATTCTACTATATTTTGGGCACTACTGATGCTAGAAATTTGGTATATATACTCGGTATATGTACTCGGGTTGACAACCTAAATTCAAAGAGCTATGGCGGTTATATGTCCGCCCGCAAAGGCGTGACAAACCGCAAAAGTTTATTATATCTCCTAAAGTCGAAGAGCTAGAAGCTTCAAATTTGGAGTGTTGAGTTACCGGTTACCTCCTCTGTCGATGTCTTAAAAAATAATTGCATATCGAAAAATACCCTGTAATTTTCATATTTTATGAGCCTAGCATTCAAATTTTTTAATCAGGTTACCATTAGCTGTTTTTAAAAACTGACCAAACATGAGGTGTTTAATGCCAATAGAGGCATGGCAAGTAGAGAAAACTGCATTTTCTACAGTACTACAGGTAGAAACTCAAAACTTAGCTACTGATGGGATGTGCATGAGTACTCGGTAGTTGCTTACGCCCGACTGCAACGAATTGTTTAATGTTAAAAACTATCACGAACATGGCAACCATATACCACCACAGGGGGTGGCTTGTTAATTGGTGTTAAATCCACTCCGAATTGTTTGCCTATTCGTCGCTTCATAATGCGAAGATTATCGGGGTTAAATAAACTCTTTAATACTCCGAACACTTCTTGGTCATCAACTTTTAATGCAGATTACTTTATTCCGACAATTGATCACTATATTTTTAATGAATTGTTTAACCTGTCTCTGTTTCAGGTGAACTCTATTTCTAATTATCTAAATCGCACACTTTTTTTGTGTTCATTAATCATGATTCGCTCATTAGTGTCGTGAGATCAATTCCTTTCCTTTCTAACCTGAGGATATAAATCACCCCACTTTATAGGTTTTATTAGCTGTTGTAATACTCCTTTTCCTTCTAAACCAATGCACTGTTGTCGTAAATGCAATTTTGTTTTGCTTAACGACTTAATTAATTCAATAGACTGGTCTCTTTTATATGAGTCGGTTGATATTAATTTGGCAGCATCGTTTTTATACCCTGAACCCATTGAAAATGAGAAATCAGGGTATAATGGTTTTGTTAAAAGTATGTAACAGCTGAGTCGATTTAGCCCTGCATATCTGTCTGTCCGTCCGTCTGTCCTTATATATGAACGCGTCGATCTCAGAAGATATAAGAGCTGGACACTTCAAATTTTTTTTTAAATGTCCGTATATATGGCGCGCATATCAAGTTTAACACTAAAAAACGATAACTCGTTCCGATATTTTTATCGATAAAAACGAGCTAGAGTCTCCAAATTTAAAACATATATTAAGATGCATTTCATACAATTTCTGCTTTTGTTAAAATCCCCCCCCCCCCCCCCCCCCCACACACACACACACCACAAAATCCGCCTCCTGACCGTCATATTTGTAAAAGGCGTATTTCAAATACTAGATTCTGTGCTTTGGTATATACATACATTTACACATTATGATTACTTTCTGAAAGTTTCATTAACATTGCACGTCTAGAAATTAAATTATTCAACAAATAAATTCTAATTATATTGTCAACACTGCAGCGCAGCCCAAGCGCAGTCGCCTGTGAATGTATATGTGCGTATGTGTGTGCGTGTGTGTGTACGAATTATTATTGAAATATCAGTTGCTCGAAGGGTTCAGAGGATCTCGTAGTTGAGCAGTCTCGACTAGAGCTTTCTTACTTGTTTTATAGTACCTTTAACTCTATTCAGGTCGTGTGAGTCCCTCTTAGTCGTATTTGGCCTATTTCAAATTAGCCACATTGGTTTACTAAGACTCTTTCGATCTTAAGAAACATTAAAACTAAATGTTTTAGAAAATCTGCTTCAAATGTTTACTGGTCAAAATATTCCATAGCCAAGTCAAATTTCAATCTTTTAAATTCTCATTGTTATGAGAATTTTCTGATATGATGCAAAACAATTTTACTCATTTGTAAACTTAAAGCGTAAATCTTTTGGTTTGCCGTCCTCATTTGTCCTTGGTGCTAAAAACAACCAGTAATTATCAGGAATCCTCTGATCTCAATTACTTATTCTTCTGCTGATCTCTTCAGCAACTCATATCCATATTTACTCTCTGAATATGGTTCCATTAATGCTCATAGGGTCGCTGCAGCCACCGGGGCTGCAGCCATTTGGACGTTGAAATCTTCTTTTTCTTCTGGTGCCGATAAGAGAGTCTTGCTGAAAACAGTTATTTATAAACTTATCTTTGTTTCGTTTGGTATCTCCTTTTCTACGATATTTATGTATTCTGATGATGTAAAACTTAACACACTTAACACTTAAGTTGGTCAAAGTGAAAGACAATGACTTTCACTCACACCGTTCCTCATATTGTTGACTTTAAAATTAGTAACATTTCCTTACAATGCATCTTTATAGTCAAAGATCTTGGTGTTTTCTTCGACTGTAAACTTAATTTCAACCTTCATATTTCTACCATCATAAATGAAGCCAAAAGTGTGCTTGGCTTTTTTAACGCTGGTCTAAGGATTTTAAAGATCCTTTTATTACAAAACAATTATATATTTCGCTTGTGCTTCCTACCTTAGAGTATTGCTCACTTGTATGGTCTCCTCAACACAAACTGCATCTGGATTATATCGAATAGGTCCAAAAACAATTTCTCCACTTTGCCTTAAGGAATCTTAACTGGGACAGGGATTTACGATTGCCATCTTACATTAGTAGGCTTCAGCTCATTGATATTCCATCGTTAATCAACCGCAAACAGTTTTAAGAATTGTTTTTCTGCATAATTTGATTAGCGGTAATATTGATTCGTCCTCTCTGATGCGTCTTAATTTTTCGGTTCCGTCCCAAACAACTAGACACTATCATCTGTTTAATTTACCTGTGTGCTCTACAGATTGCATAGTGGATTTCATGTTGTTAATTTGTGTTAATGGTAGTACTCTACTTTATTTTGGCTCTTCTTTTATTCATTTATATTTATTTCTTATTCTTTGTTCTTACTAATTTTTACCTTAAGAATTATTATAATTGTAATCATATTAACTATATATAAGCTCTTTTAATATTTATTTTAAGTTTCATTTTAACACTTTCTTTTTATAGTTTCAATAGTATCACTGACCATACTTGGCTGTGAATAGAATGAAAAGAGAGCAGAAAGTGGTCCAATTGATCACATACAGCTCTACTACGACGACCTCTAACTGGCATTTGAGCGGAATTTAGGCTTTAAGTAAAAGTCGTCCTATGAAAAGAGCGGCAGCTGCTCAGGCCTGGTGGGGGTCTGTCGGGTATGATCGTACAGGAAATACTTCTATAAGTGTAGAGCACATGAAACTATTTGGCCACTCTAGATGTAATTTTATAGCTAATTCTCGTTAACGTTTTTAATCGATAGTATATATAATAGTTATAATAGTTATCGAAGGGAGTAGAATCGAATAGTCAGACAAATATGCATACATATGTATGTATTTGTTTATAAAAGTAAAAAATACAAATATTGGTCAAGCAATACTTGCTTGTAATGGCTGAAAACTTAAAACTCCATAGTTTATTTTCAGAGACCCATCAATTAAACTTGACCTTTGGTTGTGTGCGCATGATTTATTTTCTAATTTTTGCAAGTCGTTAAATTTTAATTCGATGACAAATCTTACATACATCTGTATGAATTACACTTCGCGTCGAAATCTGTTGCTATTATTATCCAGAAGATTAGATTCGTTTTTTATTCTATTTAATAAATTTGGTCTTAATTGTCTGAATTATTTTACAGTCGGGATATTTAGATGTTGTGGTTCCACCGGATATCCTAAACCACCCTGATGAAAATATTAATGAAGGTGTTAGCACGGAGGGAGGGAGCATTTCCTTATTATGCAGTGCCACAGGTACTAGCAAATTAATATTATATTTTATCTGAATATACCAAATTTTCAACTACAAAGTATAAGTAATTATTTCTACTTCTTCTAATTTATATGATATAGGTGTACCAGAGCCAATGGTTCAATGGCGACGGGAAGGCGGCAAAGATATTATAATTCGATCGGAGAGTAGAGACAAGCAAGGTGCATTTTTGAATATTTTAACGGCTTCTTAGATATTCTGTTGTCAGAAAAAGTCGATACCAGATACTCCTGAAAATTATTTGATGCATAAATTGATGCTGACATATAAACAGCACAACTGTATGTAGGAACTTATATAATGTGAACCTTAAAAATGATTATATGCAACTGTATTTTTACTGCGACATGTATATTTATCGGCAAGATAATGATGATATTACAAAATCATTTAATTACTCTTTTAATATTCAAGCATTCAAATCGATGGAAGGGGAGCGACTGACTCTTACTAACGTTCATCGTACGGATATGGGGGGCTACCTTTGCATTGCATCGAATGGAGTTCCCCCTTCAGTGAGCAAACGCTTTGATGTTCATGTAAATTGTAAGTTATACAATGGAAATAGTAATACAAAATATATATTTTTTGCGTATTTCTTAAAACTAATGTTCATGTTGAACTGTGTGATTTCTTTGAATGTTGAGTGTAAATTGGAGTAGCTTGACATAGAGTAGATGTGAATAATATTATTTATGCAAATGTGGTAAGATGTTGGAAGTTAGGATTTTGGCTTCTCTCTGGGGAATATATGAAGTATAAACAGTTAATGCGTATGCTAATAGGTTAGGATAAAATGCGTACCTGACTGTATATGTAAATAAACACTTAAATGCGTATACCTAAAAACCTAGATAATTTGCGGTTCAGGGGACCTACTAATTGGGCTATAAATTTAAGGATGTGTTTTCGCCAGGTGAGTTTGGGATCGTGAGTTAGTTCTTTAGTATTTTTGTAATTTTTATTAATTGTTGGCCTTTAAAAGTAATAGTGCGGTATAGATTGTATATTTGCAAGTCAGATGAATTTCTTTGTTTTATACTTACAATATATATAAATGCATTGTCACTTTAAATACTTATTATTTATGTATCGTTGTGTTATACACATATAAATTAATACTTTTACTTACACATAGATATATGTACATACATAGGTAATTTATTTATAGTTCGTGAAAGTACTTGTACTTGTAATATCTTGAAATTGCGAAATTTCAGTCCCTAGAGAATGCTTCAGTACCTTAAACAAGCTGTTGGTGTGGCAGAAGACACAAATCAACACCATGAGATTGTCAAGTCAAAATCAGAGTACCAGTTGTAGAAAGTTACGATAGTCTCACTTCATGTTCAAAGCAGGGCGTATCAAATTTGCACACATGCAACTGTATAAGTGTCCTTCCATTATAACATCTGCTTGCAACGAGGAATGCAGCAGCAGCTGCAGAAGCAGCAGTAGAAGCAGAGAAGCTGGCAGAACACACATTGAACTATTGTCATGAGCTATTATGCTGTTTACTACTTATGTATGAGTGTGTAGAAGAGAGAATGAAGTACAGAATAGGCATATACATACATACATACATATATATATATATATATATATATATATATATATATATATATA